AAAATTAAAAGAATAACAAGAAAATGAGAAAAAGGAGAATATTCAGAAATACTTAAAAAGTATGAAGGTAAAGAAATTGTATAATATTCTCCAAGAATTATATTCAATAAGAAAGAAGAAAACACTAGAGAAAAACAAAGAAGAAATCAAAGATAAAACAAAAGATTGGACAAGTGATGATATTAAAACAATCGAAGAAGAAATCAAAAACAAAAATCGAATTAAAGAAATGAATGATAGATGTAAATATGCAAGAATAATAAATGAAAAAGAAAATAAAAGGAAAACACAAGAGAAAGAAGAGAAAAAGGAAGAAGAAAGCAACAAATAAGAAATTAACACACTTCAAAATAAAATTAAAGAAATAGAAGAAATTATTAAATAATTTCAAACAAAAAAGAAAGAAGAAGAACGAACTATTTCAAATGAAATAATTCAAAAAGCACGAGAAACAGTCAGGAAAGAGTTTGAAGAAGAAATAAAAAAGATTCAAACACAAATAAACAATATTTAAACAACATATAATGAAATAAGAAAACTATAAATTAAAATAATAAAATAATTCATTATAAATTAAATAAAAGAAATAGAATGTAGAAATAACACAAAATATAAAGTAAAGATGAATCATCTTCATTCTCCAAGCTAGTTATGAGAATTTGAATAATGATAAAATGAAGAATGATGATGTGATGAAGAAGAATATAAGAGATAAAGAAAAACATATCAATGAATATCAAAAAAGTGTGATTGAAAACTATGAGATTGCAGAAAAAACAAGAAAAGAATTAGACAATACACAAAAAGAAAATGAAGAACAAAATCAAATAATATTAAATCATCATCAATTTATTATTTATTTTTTATCCCAGAAATAGAGAAAGAAAACAATGACACTAGTGATAAATACACAACAAATATTGAGAACATCATCATCTGGGACAATACAAATGAACCAAACTACAACTATGAAAAATAATATTAGAAATAAAAGAACAAAACATTGAATATCAAAAAACAAGAAATGATAAACAATCAAGAAGAGAAGAAAACACAACAAATCAAACAAATAGAATTTTAATTGATGTGTTGTATTGATTTGCAATTAATTTGTTAAATAAGAAATTAAATAAGAAATTAAGAAATGAATAAATAGAAAATATAATAAAAGTAATAAATAATAATGTAAATAATGAGAAAGAATACATTAATAATATTAAAAAGTCACATAGAATAATCAACTAAAATATATATTAAAATGAAAGTGAACTCCATCATAGAAGGGAAAGTAGAGTGTAACCCAATAATAAAAAATATTATCATAAAAAATAACTCTACTAATATTGATGATGAATATCTTAATATTATCATCATTTAAGTTAAAGAAATGAAAATAAATTAAATCATAATTTAGAATGAAATATATAGAAATTATGATAATACTATCATCATATTAGATGATTTAAATATAATTATGATGAAAATAAATAATTTGAAATCAACATGAATTGATATTATATATTTATATTAAATGAAGAGAATATCAATATCAAGAGAATATATTCTTAACACAGTTAATGAATAATTAAATTTCAATGAATTCATCAAATTAAATATAGTAAATTGAATAATTATATTAAACAACAAATGAAGTGATATGAATGATGTTATTAATAGTCATTATATCAGTTGTATAAATGTAATTATGAAAATATACTCATACAACATTAAGAATGATGAGAACAATAACTTTAATAAAATGAGAGATGAAAAAAGATGAATAAGAAGTAAATTCAAATAAAAGAATTAACCAATGAAATTAAAAATGATTAATACAACAAATATAATTACATATTCAATACTTGTTATAATAAAAGAATGAACAATTCATAGCAAACAAGAAATGGTAATGATAGAAGAATGAGTAAAATAATTATATTCGTATTGATAGAAATAAATTAATTATCAGATTACTGACCATACTATTTATAACAATTATAATGAATTATTTCATTGTTTCATCATCATAAGTATTTTCAACAATGATTTAAATAGAAACAAATAACATTATAATAATATAAATAAATATCATAATAAAATACAAACGATGTATAATGAATATCAAAATAAAGATTAAAACAAATAAAAAATAAAATAAATGATAGAAATAATAAAAGAGAATCAAAATAAATAAATAAAGAAGAAAATGATTTATAAGAAGATTGTTATTAATGAATATAATCAAATTAAATGAAAAATATGATAAAACAATGTATTTGAATTTGTAATAAGTAATTACAAATAAAATAAAGAATAACATTATTCATAAATAATCAATATAATATTATCAATAAGAATATTACATTTATTAATTACAATATTTAAATATGATATTATAATCATTTATTATTATAATTATGAAATATCTGATATTTTATATTTCATTTCTGATAATGTATTATAATATAATTATTCAAATTCTCATGTATTAGAAATATTCTCTATAATAAAATAGAGTGTATTAAATTCAATCAATTATTCATTTCTTATTATTTATATAATCATGATATATCTATTATTTAATACTATTTCTTTATATTATTTTAAATTCATTTATATTTCTTTCATTATCAATAAACAATGTATTTAAATGAAATATATTAATAATTATTTAAAAATAGATAATTAAATATGAGAATAATAAT